CATCATAAATGATGTATGTCTTTAACGTCCATCCATATTAAATACAGTCCAGATACCAATTTAATTGCAGCTTAAGTGTATTGTGATAAGGGTCAAAATAAGTATTTATACGGCCTTGCGAATACCATCATTCCTTTGTTGCCCAACTTCACATGCTCATCCGATAATTGCATCCATTGTGTCCTGTAAGGCTTTATTACTCACTAGCTTGTAGTTAGCGCATTGTTCTATGGGTTGGCAGTCAGTTAAAACAGTTGTTGATATAATGAGAGGTTTATAATTAATTTTTGCATGACGTTGGATAAAGAACATACACGCGTAATGTTTGCTTGAAACGTTTCATGCTGCAGAAATATTTTTTAATGTTAAGCTCTTTAGTGTCACTCTGACCTTTTTAGGGTTCCGTATTTACTCTACGACTTCATTTCAGCTAGAAAAATAAAATTAAATGCCAAAATTAATCTCTAACTGTTAATAAATTAGGTTTCATTTAACATGTCTTACAAACAGAATACCTGCAATTATTACCGTCAAATTACCTTCTACCTATGTACTTCCACTTCTTTGAAGTACTTACAAAAAAGTTCTATTCACAGTACTACTTAGTTTCGTCACGATTTCGAATAAGTTTAAATTAAAATCTTAAATCGAATAACAACTATCAGAAAGAGGTATAAGTTTCCTCTTAAAAACCCCATGTACTTTGTACTAACACTTCGAACTTTGTACTTTGATTCGATTCCCAATCACATCAATTAAGACATAAAAATTTTCGTCTGCATTTAAGATCTTTACAAGAGGTAGTCTCTACAACTTGTCTATTTTATAAATTGAAAACTGTTGGCTGACTGTACAGCCGATAGACGTCCACTGCTGGACAAAGTCTTCCCCCAAGATTAGGGCTTAGATATTCTTTCTTGATTTAGTAAAGTGGTCGGTAAACACCATAATATATTAAGCAGAAAAGTCGAAAAACAAAATCTTCTTTCAGAAATCAAAATTTTGGTATTCAATTAAATTCAATTCTTTATTGCTATTCCAGACTTATGTATTAAATTTGGTTATTTTACGAGTAATTAAATTATTGAACATGTTACTGCAACAACATGCAACTCTATTACATGAGGAATATTGCGCCTCAGGAGTAAACATAATATTGATGATACGGAGATGCTAATTCGTGAGACATAATTTTTTAATCCTGATTGTACTGACACGGAAAAACTAATTGGCTGTTGCACAAAAAAGTCTCAGTTTAACAACGTACAAAATAGTCAATCATTTTAGTTTGAGCCATTGCATGTACCTATATTCTTTCTACGGCAGGTCGCTACCAACCGTGCGATGTGGAAGTCATTGACTTTGGCTGAAATGATGACGATGATAATGATATTCTTTCTTCGATGTTGATTAATTTGATGTTGTTGTTAGCACTGCAAAAAAGGGGCTATTTACATGTCTCCATAAGTTTAGAGTCCTATTAGCACTTTGAGAGATAATAATATGGTTGTATGGCAAGTGTTAAAGAGAAGACCCTAAAACAAGCTGTGATCGACATTAATTTTATTCTTATAGCCCATTTTTAATGTCATCTTTACTTTACATTTTTTTTCATTTTTACTATATGGATTTCTAGCGGTCGCCCGCGACTTCGTAGTTGTCGATCCCGTTTTACCTCCTTAAGGGTTGAATTTTGCAAAATCCCGTCTTAGCGAGCACCTACGTTCTAAAAGGAAGCTCTTAAATTTGAGACTCCTAGCACTTGTAGTTTCTGAGATTTTGTGATGAGTGAGTCAGTGACCTTTCGCTTTTATATTCGTAGAGATACAGATGTTTGAAGGTAGTGAGGTTTTAAGGGTTTTAATTAAGATGAGTGGCTGAATCTAACGCCAGAAGTAGCGTATGCGCTGGCTGTGTAATTCACGGTATCAAACTGCAGAAGAATGAATGAGTTGTTTCGTTTGTATCCTATTAAAATAACCATGTCATGTTTACAAACTCTCACCTGCTACCTGTTGTTCCAGTGTTTGGATACATTTTGCTGAAAATGTTTTCAAAACAGCCACCCTTTGTCTCCTCAGTTACGAAGAAAGAATGGACACGTGATAAGACAAAATTTCAATTTGGTTCTTTAATACAATCTCTAGCAACATTTACACTTAAAATACAGGGGATGACTTTTAAATCGTTGGCATCCTTTTAAACTAAGACTCTACTCATGGTATGTTCCCTGATTATAAAACTTTGATGAGTTAAAATTTCAAAAATTAAAGTCTACTACAGACGATAGAACATCAAACTTAACTCTGTGGCATCTTATTTCGATGTAGTAGGTGTTATTCTGCAACAAAAAATTTATAGTTTGACGTGCTGTTAACTGTACAATCGTTTTAAACTTCTTTTAAGAGCATGCCAACGATTTCAATGTCAGCCTGTATACTCGTCCCCAATAGACATAGAGTTATTAATTATTACATTTTATTGAATCTAAGCTATGTGCGGATATAAAACCATGTTTAATAGGACTTCTCTCAGACTGTAAAATAGCTTTAGGCTGAAAAATTACTGAAAAACGTGATACTTTACTAAATTTTCTGGCAAATGACGTCTTACACCGAGACCATTCACCTGTAAATACCTACCTTTATCTAATAGTTCCAGAAATAGAAATTTCAAGAACGAAATTGTATCTTGTATCTTTACATTACAGTCATACCAGTGATCCCGGTAGGTGATCACCTATATGCAGGTCTAATGAATTAACGCTATAAACGTACCTATTACTAATAGATTAATTAAGAATTAAGATCTGGTCCTTAATTTTTTATAGCGTATCATCAAGTCTGGTGTAATAACCATTAAAATAATTTGCCTACAACATTTATCTGCATAATCTTGGCTTGCAATTTTTATAGATATTTGTGACAAGGCCACCCTAAGATTATGATTGTTACTTACAAGTGAATGGTTTTTGTAACCATTCGTCGGTTAGGCTAAGCTTTTTTCAATGTCAAAAGTTTAATGTAATTTGATTTCGGTTAAAATAAAAAGTAACATAAAAACTCAAGTAGCTTTGTCTGCAATATAAAATTACTACTTAATTGGCTCTTATTAACAAAAACTAGCACAGCTTGAATCAAATCACTCAATTCATCTTAAAAGTCAATGTTTGAAAGAGTTATATAGGGATAAAAATATACCTAACCATCAGTTTTGTAAACGGATGTGTATGACATCTTTAACTGGTCATAAAAACAAACACTGTTCATAAAAACTAAATTATTGTTTTCCTTAGTGATTGCCAAAATATGTATGAATAAAGCTTGGTGTGTGGGAAATTTTCATATTCGTCATTTAAGTATGACATGCTCTGCATGGTTAGATGATTTTTCAATTGTCATGATGCTTTTAAACTTCATAAAGTGGTTCTAAAGTGACACAGGTTTTTGTGAAAATCGCGTAACCCTGGAAAAATAATATCATTTCCTCTAATCATAGGGAAAATTACACCTTAATTTTAAATTATTACAAATGATTACCATTCACCATGAAAAACTGACAAAGAGTACCGAGAATTTAGTACAATACGATTTACACGTGTTGTTACAAAACTCTACATAATTTGATATATATTATTTTCTTGAAAATTTAAGGAGGCGTTTAAATGACATTACAACACAATGTAGTAAACAAAACCACTACAAATGCAAATTGCGCGCCCATCAACGTGCAAAACATTAAATCCGGCCCATTCAAGATGTCCTCAACTTGCGAGACTGCCAAAGTGATTCGCGTTTGTGTCAATGCGACATCCTCTTATTGATAGCACCAGACCCTTTATGCAAACGTACACGTCCAGTCCCTGACCTTGATCCGTAACGCGGAATCAGTTACAGCAAGGTCAGTGCGATGACACTGCGTTATTTTTTGTACCAGCTGATGTATTGTGCAAATAATACTCCCACAACGCACATGACAGTGGAGACCGAATTACAGCATTGAATACTACCATGACAAGTTCGTAGTCAATTTTTGGACAGGTTTCATGATTCAATGTAACTATTGTGGAATTGTGTCGATCGATCGCGTTCAATAGATAAAATGGATGGACAAAGTCTCAATAGAATGTAATTGTAAAAGACCTGACCAACCCATGATTAGCAGCCTACGGAACTGGCATAGTTATGTATACGTTTTGTTAAAACACGATGCTTTACCCCTTAAATTAATAATTACGACGTAACAAGTTGATGTTTTGTTTTCTTTCTCAATTGACGTAAGACATTATTTTCTTTTTCTTTTCACTGTGTACTATTATAATTTAATTATTTTCTATGAATTTCATTTGCATATTATAGTACAAAACAGACTTTATTTACATACTTTATCCTATAAAACCTCTACAGATGTTTATTAACATTGATATAAAACTGCAGGTTGGATAGAACCGTGTAAATGTACTAAATCAAAGATTTGAATACATAAGAGAAATAACGAACCGTTTATTTAGTTCAGACAATCAGTTTAAAATGTAATCTTCTGATGAATAGTTATTTCTGCGACACAAGCTATCAATTCAACCGTTAAATTATATTCCACAGCTACTCGTAGACCAAAATCTGGTAGGTATTGATTAACGTGCACGTGTTTTATCTCTCTAGTTTGAAACATACGAATGCAGATTAAATTCCCATCTGTAAACAATGTAACAAAAGAAACAAAGTTTTCCGTGACTTAGTGACTGCGATGGTCTACCTCGATAAACCATTGTGACTACGTAAAGTTAATTCTGTCTAACAGTCGGCGACGATTACGTTAAGTACGTAGGCAATCATGAAATGATTACGGCGTCCGGTGTATACTGCATTTACCAATCAAAGGTACAAAGCCCATTGAGCGAAATATGAAGTTTACGTCTGTAGGCACGCGGACACAATAAATACTACTGGGTGGTGTGATACCAGCACTTACTCCATTGATATGTGTCGTCCTTGTTTCAGATACGTGCACCAGTCATGACGGCTGACGCGAAGAATCTAGAAAACAGCATAGCTGAAAAGGCTATTAATGGCAGCGACTTAAATGGAACCAATGTAATTAAGAATAGCTTTAATAAAGAAAAACTCAATCAAGACAAAAAAGATGTGGACGAATGGGATGAGTTGGACATTTTTCAGAAAACGAAACGAGTGATGTCCATGATTACTGTAGAGCCGATTTTAGCATGTTACGTGATGCCATCCGTGCTGTCAGCTTTAGCAACTCAGAATTTATATTTGGAAAAAGCTTGTAGAGTTAATTTAGGGTTCGACCATCACGTGTGTGATGCCTTAACGAGAAGGGAAACTGCTAATTATACTCTTGAAGAGGAAGCAGTTCAGACTCTAGTTGCTTCTGTTGCCGGCTGGAAGACAGTGCTGCAGTCATTCTTGCCATGTGGAATACTAATTTTTTTGGGAGCGTACAGTGACAAGATTGGACAGAGAAAATTCTGCATGCTGTTACCAATCATTGGAGAATTTCTGACGAGTATAGGTTTGATTGTCAATACCTATTTCTTTCATCAGCTGCCGGTTGAGGTTGCTGCAGTGACTGAAGCTATATTCCCTGCCTTGACTGGAGGGTGGTTCACGATGTTTATGGGAGTGTTTAGTTATATCGCGGACGTCACTACAGAAGAACAAAGGACGTTAAGGATCGGTGTTGTGAATCTGTTTTACTCAGTCGGAGTGCCAGTGGGGGCTGCTCTCAGTGGGATATTGGTGCGGAAAATTGGACTCTATGGTGTGTTCTCGTTGAGTGCTTCGTTATACATTTTGAGTTTCTTCTATGGCTACTATAGGATCAAGGAAGTCAAGAGGCCTGACTTAAATACGGTAAGGACATTTTTTGTTTCTGCTCTATTAACGGAACGGTTTATTTTATTAATGTATTATTATAATTAGTTGCTTGTAAAGTCGACGCCTTGACAGCGCTGCAAAATTAAACGGTTCATTGAACTAAATAAGAAGTTGTCTGTTTAATGCGATTACTGGAACGATAAGATGACAGTCACAGTCCAATTCATACTAGGTATCTAATTAAATATAGCTCTGATGCAGTAACTATTTTAAGTTGATAGTGTAATGGATAAGATGATTGTTGCATGTGTCGATAACAATAATTGATGAGAAGGGGTTCTATGTATGTCAGGGCAAAGAGACGTCTATGTGTCAATAATGTTAATTATGTGTTACTAATAATATACTATACTAAGTACTATTATATCATAATGATGCAACGTGGCACTTGTGACAAATACAAAGGTTTTCTGGACACGCTATCATAGTAACAGTGAATACCATTTACACGTCACGTTAATAGGACAAACTATTGAAACAACAACATAATAACACAAACGAATAAACAATGGTGATCATTATAATAATAATAACATCGAATACAAAAAAAGTATTTTTCTAAGCAATTATACAACTAAACAAAAATTTAATATTGCTATGTATGCAGGACGCGTATAAAACTTTAGTTAAAAATTTACTATGGAATAACTGTTTTTCCATATTTAGTACAACTATTGTACAGCTTTTTCTATTGACTTTTAGAATTAACAAATAATCCGACTTCTTTGTTAATTAATAACAAGCTGGTCATAATGATGGTTGTGTTATCATACTTGGTAGTAAAATAAGGTTATTAGGTTTTAGCACTCTACTTTCTCAACAATACAGTTGCACCTGTAAAAACATAAATAATATGTTTAAACAAAAAGTAATATGATTTTCCTATACATTTTATTTGCTTTGATGATTTATAATTTGTGATAGAATATAAAAATAAAAATCAAATAATATTTAGTTATTAAGCGTTAAGAGATGCAATCTCAAATCTCAAACTAAATTATAAATAACTTAAAAAATCGAACTGTCTAAGGCGGGAATCGAACCCACAACCTTTCGGTTGCCGGGTGACTGCTCTTCCATCTAAGCTACTACTTAGAAACTGGATGAACCCAGTTCGATTTTTTCAAGTTATTTATAATAATAATATTTGTTTCCAACATTAATAAATCGTTTGTAGTTGAAGGTTTTCACATGTAGATAGTTATTGGGTCTTTCGATTTACTGGTATTTAATGTCATTTGTCATTGAAACAAATTCGTTATGAAACAGGCTAAAAGTGATTGTTTGGAACTAAAAAAACACTACCAAAAAGGCTTTGTATATTTTATCACAACGTGGATAGGAAAAAATGGCCCTCTCTTAAAACTGTCTTAGGTCAAACGATCGAGTCATAAAATTAGGCCAATGTAAGGCAGGTATAATAAGATATACCTACTTACTGATTGTTTCAGGAACCAAAGGCTTATGTAATGAAGCAGGGATGTTATGGATATCCGTAGCCGTAACCGAAACTTTCGGATATCCGAAATAAAAAAATATATAAAACCGTAACCGTAACCGATTCAAAAGTTTCGGATACTTTCGAATGTAGGCAGATTAAATTGTTTTTTTTTGTATAGCATTATATGTAAAGGCATAACAGCCTGATTTACATAATGCCATCTAGTATCAATTTTTTTTAACTTTTTATTCGATGTAAAGTGTGCGGCCATCTCAGAATACGGAACAAACCAGAAACCGTCAACGGGCGTAAATGTGTATTCATATANGCACTTGTGACAAATACAAAGGTTTTCTGGACACGCTATCATAGTAACAGTGAATACCATTTACACGTCACGTTAATAGGACAAACTATTGAAACAACAACATAATAACACAAACGAACAAACAATGGTGATCATTATAATAATAATAACATCTAATACAAAAAATATTTTTTCTAAGCAATTATAGAACATAATTTTAATATTGCTATGTATGTAGGACGCGTATAAATAAAACTTTAGTTAAAAATTTACTATGGAATAAACTGTTAATCTATATTTACAACTATTGTACAGCTTTTTCTATTGACTTTTAGTATTAACAAATAATCCGACTTCTTTGTTAATTAATAACAAGCTGGTCATAATGATGGTTGTGTTATCATACTTGGTAATAAAATAAGGTCATTAGGTTTTAGCACTCTACTTTCTCAACAATACAGTTGCACCTGTAAAAACATAAATAATATGTTTAAACAAAAAGTAATATGATTTTCCTATACATTTTATTTGCTTTGATGATTTATAATTTGTGATAGAATATAAAAATAAAAATCAAATAATATTTAGTTATTAAGCGTTAAGAGATGCAATCTCAAATCTCAAACTAAATTATAAATAACTTAAAAAATCGAACTGTCTAAGGCGGGAATCGAACCCACAACCTTTCGGTTGCTGATTTTATGAATGGTGATATAAAAATAATTTAAATTAACTTTAATTCCCTGTTTTAGCAATCAATGCGATTTTGTGATTGAACGTGTGTGACCCTCACGTAGTCACGATTTCTGCCTGTCACTTATCCTTTCCCACGCAGGTAGTCTTTGTGATGTTACCAAAGTAACTGAAAATGGGTATTATAAATTATTTTGAGTCTTATGCTCGTATCCGCAAAAATTACTATGAGGTCTCACAGTGCGCGTGGACGCATAGGGTGACACAATCACAGAGCTCTATTCAATGCTGTGCGTTCGATTTGCTGCTTCACATAAGAAAGCATCGTGTTTGAATACGGGCGTTAGTTGCAACTTCTCTAGTAGGTCTCACCAAATGCTGGCTTCATACTGACAAGATTCGAAATGGTTTTTTTTCCACTTCGCAGCCAGCTAAGTTTGATTTGAACAAAAAATTTTGATATTCAAGTAGCCTAATTTTAAGGAAAGGACAGTGCCAATCCATGAATGGAAGTTGGACCAAGTGCTGCCCAGAATGAAACTGTATGAAGTATGGTAAAGTTCAACATAGCGAGTGTTATTTAATGCCAAAATCACGAAATCTTATGCGTAGTACGTATATTATCGATGATATTTTGTATGTAAATATTTCAAAACAAAACTCTTTTTTTCTCTTATCTCCAGAGATAGATTGCAGTGCGCTTCGGTTTACACATTAGTATTGGCCTGAGGAACAAAATGCACTATAGGTTGATTCTGGGCAGCACTTGGTCCAGACCCTGGCACTATCCAAATGTTTGTATCAATGTTTCCTTTTTCTTCTTTTTTAGAAAATATCAAAAGTAAATTCCTAATTAACGTTCAATGTTTGGTCGGCTTTTAATTTGTATGAGGAATCGGTCGATAGCAACTCGGTGTAATCTGTACCTACATTCATACTTGCTCATACTGCCAGCCTTACAGTCCGCGTGCTATGAGTGTCTATCTATTTACATTTTTCTATTTTAAAAGAGATGTCATAATGTATTAGTCGATATCACATGTAGGTACTTACATATTGTATTTATATCGGAGCCTCCTTCTACCAATATCATTATTATGCAAATACCAGTACTTGAACTTAAAAGTAGAGTGTTCAATTCACAATTTTATTGTAACACTTAGAAAATAGAAAATATTATACATCCTTGACGGTGGAAGATTCTTCGGCATTCAGTAATCTTTTTACTGACGAAAAAACCGGCAGTTTCTGTTCTTGTCCGTTATGTAATAGGCCCCAAGTTCAATGATTGGCGTTATTTGAGCATAAAAAGGCCATCAACTTGACCCAAATTGTCACACTCTGTTGACAGGAAGGACCTTCAGTCATTCGTTTTTAGCACGATACGAAACAATCACTTTTACTATTGGGTGTTAAGCACTCACTTACTTATTATTATGAAATGGATTTTGTTGTCTCGTGAGAAAATCGAATGTAGAAATCGACTGGTTGATCGCAAAAAGATATCTATAAATAAGTCCTTTGTATCGAGCGTAGAACCCTTTTGTCAGACGTGTTCAGTAACTAGTACCCTGAGTACAAATAAATATCGTTCTCGTATGAAATGGTATGAAAAACAAAATAACGCCTCTACGGTTAAGTTGCAGAAAGAACACGATTACGAGACTTATTTGTGCTCAGAGTACAGGCGTCTGAAATGGTTCGATCGGATCGACGCCAATGTGGTTCATTCTTTGTTCTCTAAGTGATGTTCATTCAAAATACACCTAGGAATCGAACCCAGATCACTCTGGGACAAGAATGATGACACCTTGTAACTTGAATCGAAATACCATGACAACTTCTTTCACTGGCTGAGACGTGACGTCTCTGTAGACTGTAACAATATTGATACTTCGATGCAATAAACCATTGCCTTATAATAAGCTTTTGTATTGATCTTGTTTTCAGAAACCAGCGAAGAACTGTTGCGAATGGCTCCGCCAGTTCTTCGATACGCGATACGTCAAGGAAACCCTCATGGTAGCCTTCAAGAAAGGGCCGAACAAAAGGAGACTCCGGGTCATCATGCTTGTAGTGGTGCTGTGTGTGGTCATTGGTCCTATTTATGGTAAGATAGTTTCTTTGGATGTGTTTGATTTCAGCCCAGTTAAATGACGTCCACTGCTGGACAAATGCCTCTCCCAAATATTTCCACAACGACAGGTCCTGCGCTGCCCGCATCCAGATACTTCCCGCGACCTACACCAAATGGTCGTCCACCTAGCGGGCTCACAATACTTCTTCTGGTTAGTGGTCTCCACTCGAGAACATTGAATTTGTGCCCGTAATGATTATTATAAAAGTTTGATGACTTCATGGGAGTAATTTTAAGACACCAACTTCTTCAAGTAAGGACGTTTGTAGACATCCGTTTTTTTACCGGACGACGAACCGTCAGAAACGGATATCCTTTGTTTGCTATCAATTTTCTCGCCGAACCTATTTAAATGAAAATGAAATATTTTATTCAGCGACACAAAACAGCATCAAAAATATGAAACAAAAGTAAAACTAAATAGAGTAGGTAATTTGCGTGTCACCGAAACGGCATCCACTCAGCATCATGCCGAGGTGTCGTAAGGGACACCACGAGTCCACGACGCTGGTCTTCCGTGGATACCCGAAGGGCAAGAGGCACTGCTATAACACAGCAATACTACTCCGGTTGCAGTACAAGTACCTAACACAGTTATCACTTTATAAAACACACCGATTTCCGAAATAGTTACGTCCGCCGATGCAAGTTCATTAAAAACCATAACCCACCATAAATCAGGTGAAAAAATCGGGCAGTTGTCCGGTCAAAAGAACGAATGCCTACAAGCGGCCTAAGGCGTTCTAAAGCTGCGAACGTAAAGACCTGAAAATTCGTCTTAAGATGTGAATATAATACTGGTTGACAATACTTTGGCCTTGCTTGTTATTTTCCACTGCGTTTGATTAAACAATGTAACTTACATAAACATGACTTTCGCTATGACAGGTTTTACTTTCCACATTGCCGTACGGAATATTAATTTCGTCGAGGCTGGTGTATGAGTAGGTATACTAAAAATAGTGAAATCTAACAATTTTTTGTAAAAATTTGGTACGGCCAGCCCTGAAATTAAATAAAACCTATTAATAGTTTTACGTAGTACCTAACATTCACTGTATGTATCTAAGAAGTTTTAAGCAATCAATTGGTTTTGGTGGCACAATCCTGGATATTGGGCTACCATTGAAGATGATTGTGATAATTACTCACTCATGGGCTATGATAGCCCCCCCCTGAAAAATAATCCTAGATACGCCAATGTACCATCGGCAAGAGTGTTACTATCTATTGTCTGTCATGTCGTCTCGTTTGATGAGAGCGAGAGCAAAAACGGAAATGGATAGTTAACATTGTGGCCGTGTGTACGTTGTATACACAGATCATTATTGTCATTATATTTATACGTAAAATAAATATCAGGCGGTTATCACACTGCGCCGCGCTCCGCCGCGGTATGCGGGACGACAGATTTAATTATTGTATGCAAGTACCTCAGTTTGTATAGAAAACACGCGCGGCACTTCACACTGACAACGCGTCTGCGCGAGGTATTTTTTTTTTTTATATGAAATCCGCAGTGTGATAACCGCCTTATAAAATCCTTTTGTATTTTTTCCAGGTGAAATGTCGGTGATGTACTTATTCACCAGATACCGGTTCAACTGGAACGAGGTGGACTTCAGCATGTTCTCTACTTACGCGATGTGTACTTCATTAGTTGGTACGTTTTATATATATTTTTAAAATATTGTATTGCACAAATACTAAGTCCCGGTAGCCCCTTGTGGTAAGCTAAATAAGCTTGTGTTACGAATCCCACCGCCCACTCGATTAATTGTGGTGAGCCCACCACAATAGTCGAGCGGGCGGTGGGATTCGAACCCACGTTTCTCGGATCTCAATTCGGCCAATCCGACCCTTCACCGTTCAGATATCGTGGCTATTATAATAAATTCAGTACTCATACTCATTTAGCTAATTAGCCTTACTTCAGTCAAATTGAGCCAGTATTATTGGCTCAATTTGAACGTGCGTCTCCTCTGGGTGAGCAAGCACATTAGAATTTTGTATCTGAAAATCATGTTGATGTATTTTTCGTAAATTTTGAGTAGCGTTGCTTGTCCATGTCATTATTGTTCTTGTAGACCATTGATATATCCTCTTATTAATAAAAAGTTACACCTAGACATTTCCATAAGTTCAACTAGGGTGTAACTTTTATTAATAAGAAGGATAGTGTACTACGCTAGTAATATTAGTTCAATGTTGTAGACTAATTCAATAGTTTTTTCGATGTGCATCAAAGATTAATAGCAAAGAAAACTTTACAAGTATTTGAGTAAGTAGACCATATTGAAAATATCATGTAAAATAGAACTTTTTATTTTAATTCTGTTCCAATTATTTTTCCAGGAACTTTGTTCTCGGTGGGAGTGTTCAGCCATCTTTTGAAGTTCGACGACGCCATCATCGGAGTTATATCTTGTACCAGCAAGATCCTGGCCGGGTTTATGTATGCTTTTGCTACCAAAACCTGGCACATCTATATAGGTACTAATGTTTTATTACATTTGAGTTAAAAAAGATATGTAAATATGCTAATTTGGAATGTTTCTTTCAGCCCCATTGATCGAGATTTTCAATGGAACTTCTTTCATCGCTATGAGATCTATGGTCTCCAAATTGGTTGAAAGAGATGAGCTGGGTGAGTACGTAAAGTTAAAGTTAAGTTTGTTTAAGGTCATAACACACTTATCAACCCGGAAAGGGATCAACATCATATCGCCTTTAGCCGCGCTGTAAACCGCCTTGAGTTGATACGGTTACGATCCGTTTCCGGGTTGATATGTGTGCTTCGTCCTTTAGCTGCTCAAATATAGGTAGATACAACATTGCAATCAAAATCAACAAGTTCAAAAACAAATGATCTGTTAAAAGATGTTAGGCAGTTTTATTTAATTAAAACTTCAATTGCTCATAAAAGTAATATAAAAAGTACAAAAGGCGAAGTTAATGCCATTTTATTATTTTTTTATTTGTACGCTTTGGTGCTCACGGGTCAAAAGTGACCCGGTCCTTTATAAGGCTTGCGTGGGGATACAGATCCAACACGTAGAGGCCGTTTTAAGCGCAAAATATTCGACAAAACTGAAAGTAGTATATTATTATTATCATTTAGCTTTGCTTCTTCAGAAAGTTTTATTAATTTCGTGTCCTTAAATTTTATTCATAAGTAACTCTTTCTTTTTCCAGGAAAAGTGAACTCGTTCTTTGGAGTAGCCGAAGCTATGATGCCTTTAGTGTACGCTCCTATGTACACTTCAGTGTATACAGCTACCATAAAAACCTTCCCTGGAGCCTTCTTCCTTCTTGGAGGTGGACTTACAGTTCCTGCCGTGGTGATATTCTTGTAAGTTATTTGTTGATAATCTAACTTAGGTGTATCAATATTTTAAATTACCTTGTTTTTACTAATACTATAGGACATTTTAAAGCTGCTCTTATAAAATGTGCAATTACTTGAACATTCGCGAATACACTGAACTATGGTAATGTTACCGTGACTGAACTGTCGAAATTAATTTTCACCTAGCTCGAATTAATAAGGCTGTATAAAGTTTGGTGCTAATTTTACCAGGCCTTATATTACCGTGCCTTATTACTTCGCTAGATTGTCTATTGTTTTCCTAACTCGCTATGATACCAAATTATGCTTACGCGCAATTTATATTCAAATTGCAGGTGGTTATACTTGGCGAATAAGAAACATGGCCAGCCAGAGAAGTCGAACGCGAACGCAGACACCATCGGCAACGTCGAAAATAAACCCGAAAAAGCTGGCATAGACAACAAAGCTTTTGAAGCTGAGAACCACGCGGTTGACCATAAAGCTCCCGATGTTCATTCAAACGCTGGTACCGATACCATAGATAACGTAAACCAATCTCAAATAGAAATGGGGTTCACTGAAAGTATGATGTGTACCAGTAAACTTTAAGGTTTAAAATAAACAAAAGATTAGTGTAATGTTGGGACCATGATACCGAATTATGAATAGTTGGTATTTAAACTTTACAATACAAACGTAGGTATTAAAACTTTACAATACAAACCTATGTTAATAGCTGATTAAAATTTGACCGATATAAAGTTGTAAACGAGGGTAAGTCTCTGGCAAACAGCGAGCATGAGTGGCGTGAATAAGTATCGTCGTTTCTTAAGCTATTGCTTCGCGTCTTGTCGTGTCGTGTTGTCAAAAAGTTCTATGGAGACATCGAACAGTCAGCGTCATATATTTCATGACACCTAAAATAGCCAATAAGTTCGCAACACGTCTTTGTTACAATAGAATAAGGTTGTGTTGTCGAATTTTTGGCCACTTTGGGTGTCACGAACTATTTGACGCTGACTGTACCATACTAACGCTGCAGCATGCCGCTTGTCTGTCAAAAGCTTAAAGATGTAGATAATGCTAAATACTAAATACGGCTACGCGGCTGTGACAAAATGACGATATTACCGACGGCAGAAAGTCCTGTACTGAAAGTGCAAAAATCGAGATAATTGATATTCCATATTAAAGTAAACTGATTTTCAATTGTTTATCGATACGCATAAAGCTGTGATAATTAAAATATATAAATATTTGTGATTTTATTATAATACTTGAAAGGAAATGTTTTGGTGAAACCTAAACCTTCTAAAATAATTGTTCCTGTAAAAAAAATATTTATTATGTGTTATATTTTTAGAAGCGATTTGTGGAGTAGACTCTTATTATTTTTAAGTTAATTAGTACTTAAGTTTTTGATTGTAGTCTGTGCTATATTGACTATTGTAGATCGCAGTGAATTAGTAAACGTCCAAGTACTTAGGTGTTTGATAAAAATTACTAATAAAGATACAATAAAAATTATGAAGTTTGTATTATTAGACCTTCAGAATAAATAGGTCTGATTCCCTATTACTATCGCAATCAAAATACAATTTATCTCATACGTAGTTACCTACTTTGAACCATAATTCATCGGCAAGTAATGGTAAAATAATTAACGCAATATTTGCAATGAGAGGAATTGAGCTTACTTACATTAATTAATTTTCTAAACCTCAGGATATACCCATTTATGCTGATTTTCAAATTAAAAATAAGTGTTTTGGCTTCAAAATAAAACAATTTCATAGAAAAAAATATTATAAAATTAACATGCTTTACATAGCATTCCATTAATACAGACATTCTGAAATCATAATAACAAGTAAATATCAGATCAAAATCTTAACAATCAGATTAATTTTGTAAAAGTTCTAAACGGTACAAAGTACTTCGTAATTGTGGTGTGGGAGTTCGTTTCCAGCGAACGACATGTACATTACTTTGTGGCTTGGGTGGATCTGGAACAAAAAAAAAACAAATTATAACCATTTTCGATTTCAGATGTCATAGAACATAATATTTTCCAAGGTTCATACTGAAGTATTTAGCGACTGTTTCTTACCGAAATAGGTTTATTAGTAGTTTCTTAATTTTACTCTAAGATATAAAAACACAAACTTGAGGGAATTTGTATTTTTTCTTAATTTCATTTTTTACAACAAACTGGCAACATTCACTCAGTGACGTAACAGTGTCAGTTCGAATTTGGAAAAGCGCCCGTGTAGCAGCGGTGTTTTTTTTTAATTCGGCGTTCGCCAATATCCAAAATCAAGTGAATCTAGTGAGTGAGGGATCCACAATCCTTAATAGAACTATGATGTTCTTCACCAATATGTGCTATACTTCACAAGCAAACAGAATTTTGGAGATACGCCGGGCCCGGCCAAGCACAAAAAAAGCACGCATCTGGCACTGAGGAGAACAGGTTTCTTTGCCGTTTTTAAAAAATAATATAGTTATCAGTAACATTGAATCATAATACCTCAGTCATACCTAAAACCTAACGATTACTTTAGCCCCAGATAGGGGTCTTACACTTGAGCAGTAGCTTTTTTATGAAACCCTTGACGAGGTTTTGATTTCTTTATAATTTGATGGACGTGTAAGACATTTTTTATTTGCTGAAAAAAAGGATGCTTACCTTTCCTGGTGTCAGTGATCCTTGGTGCTTGGCTCTGCCGATGTACAAAGTTTCTCCTGATGACGTACGTCCTCCAGGAATTGCGTTGGGAGGTGTCGAGCCATTGCCGCTTTCTATCCATCTGACTCTTTGCGGATCAGCTACGCAGACCTGGAATTATAATTTATTTTTTGAATGTTAGAGATGTTGAATAGAACAGAACTGTATACTGTGTTGAAGGGAACAGTTAGTAATTTTTCGTCTGTGACCACCTTCAAAATTAAAACGGTAAATTTTCAGCAGGCTTTGCGGTTTTTAACTGTGGCAAGTAATCTAACGAGTATTACATACAATCTAACAAAAAACATGCATAGTGTAGAATTTTCAATATGTGGTAACCGCATTACCTTCATCATCATCATCAAAGGTTACCTAGAATCTAACACGCTCTCTAAAGATTCGGCAAAAAGGAATAATAACAACGTTATTTTTTCTGATATAAGCATGCACCATGTCTATACCCAAATTCTCAATTGAAAGTTATTAATATCGCGACTAGCTATTTTCATTTAGGATCGAGTAGCTAGCTAACCTTGACGTGTTATTAAATTTAGTCTATTGAATCATCGAAATGTTTGCTTTGCCTTAGTCTTTTGGAATCAAAATTTACGGAATTATTTTGTGAGACCCTTTTCTACATACCTCGAAATTGTGTACTCTGATCTCCTGGCCTCCCCAAGGTATATAGGCAGATTTGTGTTTGATGGCTAGCTTTCCGGGGATAGTATCGCCTTCATGGTGCGCCCTGATCACCCAGAGAGGGCTTCCATCGTGGCCCTCGTAACCAGCTACCACTGCTTTGTGTACCAGGCCTTCTGCAGCGTAGTCATTGCTGGCAATCCATTCTACAGGTGGTGGTTGATGTGGCTCTGGAATACACAAAATTTAATTGTTAATTACATTCTTAACAAATGTAGGTATGTACATGCGTGGGTTATAATCCGTTTGATAATTATGTTATGACCAGGGTCAAGCAGTACCTTGGTAAGGTAGAAAATGCCTGCTTGATTAACGGTGTTTCGTGACGAAAACCAGCGGTTAGAACTTTGTATTACCTACCTGGTGTTCATATCGAAATAATGCTGATGTCTGCCACTAGCCATCATGACACGAACTTTACGCAGACGACTACACCATTGTTCTTGGAATTACAAGTAGGTTTGCAGCCTCAGTATTATGCACAAACGTGTATTTAATAAAAGGAGACTTTAAGGCTAACAGTAGTACGGACATTTTAGAATGAGGCAATTCATGCTTATAAGACTTCATAATATTAGGTTTTAATTTAAAGTAACAAATTGGTAAAAATTAACTCACGTCCTGTAGGAAATCCAGGGTAAGCTGGAGTTGGTTGTATATGCGGCATGGGAGCTGCAGGGTACGACATCGCAGCTGGGTTCATGCCCACGGGAGGGGCGGTAGGGAACCCTGGCTGTCCTGGCTGCCCAGGGGCACCATACGCTTGCTGGTATATTTGGGGGTAGATCTGGTTCTGGGGCGGGGGATACTGTGGTGGGTATTGAGGAGGGTACTGGGGGTTGTTGTACGGATCTGAAATAGTAATATTACTAATCAATTTAGGAGCTTTATCGAATAAATCAATTTTATTATGCTACATTTGTTTCAGGTGTACTCGTATATTGTTTACTCGTTGAGCAGTTTTCGCAACATTTATCATTGATTCTCTGTCCCTATTAGACATTGTGTGATTACATACTGTTTGTGATTCATTTTGATTGTTAATCCGTTTTTATGTTAATTTTGTACTTAGAGTGAACACAATGGTTAAAATTTTGTTATCAATATTTTGTGAGTAATGCGTGACTCATTTAAATTAAGTAAACCATTTTTACTGATGAACAAAACGGTTCTACACTAACCGATAACGTTATGTATTAATGAATTATTAGTATAGAACAACAAAATAATGCGACTATGAGAGGAAATTCCAAAGGGAAAAATATTAAATAATAAATTTTTCCGTTTTTACCCATTGCATATTTTACAATTACATAATTAGTTACATTTGAGTTAGAAGTATTTGACATTTTATAGTTTGTAAACTTGCTGTTATCTTATTTTATCTGAATGAGAGTTAACTGTGCAAAGATAAGACCGTTAACTCATTATTTACCTTCGTAACATTTACGACAGCAAAAATAGTTATTTTGTGACAAACGTGCGCAAAATAGCAATAATACCGAATTAATTTTGAAATTTTTGAGGTGAAAATTAGTAATTTTCCTGGATATTAAAAACAAGTTTTCCTCAATAATTTTCCAACAATTTTCAACATCAGCTAACGTACTCATAATGATAAGTATAAATTACAATACTTGCACTATAATGGATGGGAAACGTACAACATAATTTGGAGGTCAAATCAGTCTGTTATTAAAAATAGAAAACCGGTAAGTTNATTTAATAAAATCCGATTTGTATGAAAATTAAAATAATTAAAATGAAGATATAAATTTTCTGACTTCACCATACCATTTATATGCCCATGTTAACATGGGCTAGTGTCGGCTCATATACCCATTTACCAAACACCCTGTAGATTGTGTAAAAAAATGACAATAAATAAATCTATGACGGATTGTACAGCGTCTCTAGCGGATACTTTCAAGAACTAAAATCTTTATAGATTTTTTGACGCACGCACTCGATATTGGACACGTTTGATGTAAACTCACACTACGCTCAATGTCATAGAACATATTTTCCAAGGGTCATACTGAAGTACTTAGCGACTGTTTCTTACCGAAATGTTTATTTGATTCTTAATTTTACTCTAAGCTAGACCAATACAAATTGGAGGGTATTTTTATTTTTCTCAATTTAATTTTTTAACAAACTGGCAACATTAACTAGTGACGTAAGAGTGTGAAGTTAGACACTGTCAGTTCGAGTTTGGAAAAACGCCGGAAAAAAGAGGTATGTTTGCCGTTTGTTTTTTTAAATAATATAGCTATCAGAGACATTAAATCATTAGTCATACCTAAAACCTAACGATTACTTTAGCCCCAGATAGGGGTCTTACACTTGATCAGTAGCCTTTTTGTTAAACCCTTGACGATTGCAGTTTTGATTTCTTTATAATTTGATGGACGTTTAAGAAGTTTTTTATTTGCTGAAGAAAGTATGCTTACCTTTCCTGGTGTCAGTGATCCTTGGTGCTTGGCTCTGCCGATGTACAAAGTTTCTCCTGATGACGTACGTCCTCCTGGAATTGCATTGGGAGGTGTCGAGCCGTTGCCGCTTTCTATCCATCTGACTCTTTGCGGATCAGCTACGCAGACCTGAAATTATAATATTTTTTGTAACGTTAAAGATGGTGAATAGAGCTGTATACCTACTGTGTTGAAGGGAACAGTTTGTACCTAATTTTTCGTCTGACCACCTTCAAAATTAAAACGGTAAATTAGTAAAGACAGTCAGCAGGCCTTGCGGTTTTTAACTGTGGCAAGTAATCTAACGAGTATTACATACAATCTAACAAAAAACATGCATAGTGTAGAATTTTCAATATGTGATAACCGCATTACCTTCATCATCATCATCAAACGTTACCTAAAATCTAACAAGCTCTCTAAAGATTCGGCAAGAAGGAAGAATAACAAGGTTCATTTTTCTAATATAAGCATGTCCATTCCCAAATTCTCAATTGAAAGTTATTAATATCGCGACTAGCTATTTTCATTTAGGATCGAGTAGCTAGCTAACCTTGACGTGTTATTAAATTTAGTCTATTGAATCATCGAAATGTTTGCTTTGCCTTAGTCTTTTGGAATCAAAATTTACGGAATTATTTTGTGAGACAGTTTTCTACATACCTCGAAATTGTGTACTCTGATCTCCTGGCCTCCCCAAGGTATATAGGCAGATTTGTGTTTGATGGCTAGCTTTCCGGGGATAGTATCGCCTTCATGGTGCGCCCTGATCACCCAGAGAGGGCTTCCATCGTGGCCCTCGTAACCAGCTACCACTGCTCTGTGTACCAGGCCTTCTGCAGCGTAGTCATTGCTGGCAATCCATTCTACAGGTGGTGGTTGATGTGGCTCTGGAATACACATAATTTAATTGTTAATTAGATTCTTAAAAAATTTAGGTACATGAGTGTGTTATAGTCCGTTTGATAATATGTTATGACCAGGGTCAAACAGTACCTTGGTAAGGTAGACAATGCCTCCTTGATTAACGGTGTTTCGTGACGAAAACCAGTGGTTGGAACTTTGTTTACCTACCTAGTGCTTACATCGAAATAATGCTGATGCCTGGCACTAGCCATGACACGAACTTTATACCTACACAGCCAACTACACCATTGTTCTTAAAATTACAAGCAGGTTTACAAAAAAAGAACATCCCGCACTTTTTTATACGAACTGATGCCCTTGTTACTCAAATAACACAGCTTCAGTATCATGCACATAAAATATGTGTATACAAAAGGAGACTTTAATAAAGGCTAACAGTAATAATGAAAATTTTAGACCGAAGAATGAGGAATTCATGCTTATAAGACTTCATAATATTAGGTTTTAATTTAAAGTAACAAATTGGTAAAAATTAACTCACGTCCTGTAGGAAATCCAGGGTAAGCTGGTGTTGGTTGTATATGCGGCATGGGGGCTCCAGGGTACGACATCGCAGCTGGGTTCATGCCCGCGGGAGGGGCGGTAGGGAACCCTGGCTGTCCAGGCTGTCCAGGGGCACCATACGCTTGCTGGTATATTTGGGGGTAGATCTGGTTCTGGGGCGGGGGATACTGTGGTGGGTATTGAGGAGGGTACTGGGGGTTGTTGTACGGATCTGAAATAGTAATATTACTAATCAATTTAAGAGCTTTATCGAATAAATCAATTTTATTATGCTACATTTGTTTCAGGTGTACTCGTATATTGTTTACTCGTTGAGCCGTTTTCGCAACATTTATCATTGATGCTCTGTCCCTATTAGACATTGTGTGATTACATACTGTTTGTGATTCATTTTGATTGTTAATCTGTTTTATGTTAATTTTGTACTTTGACTGAACACAATGGTTAAAATTTTGTTATCAATATTTTGTGAGTAATGCCTGACTCATTTAAATTAAGTAAACCATTTTTACTGATAAACAAAACGGTTCTAAACTATCCGATAACGTTATGTATTAATGAATTATTAGTATAGAACAACAAAATAATGCGACTATGAGAGGAAATTCCAAAGGGAAAAATATTAAATAATATTTTTTTCCGTTTTTACCCATTGCATATTTTACAATTAGTTTTGATTTGAGTTAGAAGTATTTGACATTTTATAGTTTGTAAACTTGCTGTTATCTTATTTTATCTGAATGAGAGTTAACTGTGCAAAGATAAGACCGTTAACTCATTATTTACCTTCGTAATATTTACGACAGCAAAAATAGTTATTTCGTGACAAACGTGCGCCAAATAGCTATAATAGTAAATTAATTTTGAAACTTTTGTGGTGAAAATTAGTAATTTTCCTTGATACTGAAATCAAGTTTTCCTCAATAATTTTCCAACAATTTTCAAAATCAGCTAACGTACTCATAATGATAAGTTTAAATTACAATACTTGCACTATAATGGATGGGAAACGTACAACATAATTTGGAGGTCAAATCAGTCTGTTATTAAAAATAGAAAACCGGTACAGTAGTACACATTTAATAAGGCGCGTCGTGAATCTTCGGCCACGCAGACAAGGACAAAATTTTTCCGATTATGTTCCCCGTCGCACTTGCGCAAGCCCCGCCCATTTCATAATTACACTGCAGGCCAAGTACGGGGAATAAAATATTTATCTTTTTGAAAAAGTTTAATAGAGTATTTAAATAAATAAGATAAGATAAGAAAAACTTTATTTGACACAAAAAGAAAAAATAAAAAATAGAACAAATACACTTGTGGTACCCGTCGTTGTTCCCGATTTCCATAACAAGTGCTTTTGCTACATACTTTGGGATCGATCGGAGCAATGTACGCGTCTAATATGTATTTATTTATTTACTTGCTTTTTCCCGCGGTTTCACCCGCGTAAAATTTAGTTTGTCATAGATCGTCATAAATTATAGCCAATATGTTATTCTGGGTTATTATAAACAATAATAAGTTTCATCAAAATCCGTTCAGTAGTTTTTGCGTGAATGAGTAACAAACATCCAGACATCCAAACTTTCGCATTTATAATATTAGTAGGATTATTTTTGTGGGATGTATTTAATCCATAATTTAGAAATGTTATAATTTGCATGCTACATAATAATTGTAGCGAATTACGATAATGCACTTTATTTTATTTATCATATCTTTAATATACTGTACTCTACTAAATGGCAAATAAATATTTGAATTTCCGAAAGTGAGAAGGTTAATGCTGAATCTATGAATGAATTGTGAATGTGTAGATGTACGGAGATTGGAGGCTCACAAAAATAAAACACTTTTTTTGCCACTAAGTGTACTTTTGTCAGCAACGCGTCTACGCACTCTAGAGTATGGCGGCTGACTAACATGTGTCACAGCGCGCGCAAACATGACACGCGGCGCGGACCAATACCGGCACAGGAAGAAGACGCGCCGTGCGTGGAGCATCCCGATTGGTCAATAGCATTTCCCGCGCTACTTAAATTCGTCTTCTGCGCAGGTACATCGGTGAGCCTTATTAAATGTGTACTACTGTAAGTTTCGCAAGCCGGTCGGCGTCTGTTGCGGTAAATAAATAAACAACGCGTGAAATTCCGCGAAGCAACCATTGTCTATTGCAAAGCCTTTGGATTTAGGTAGATGTCCTAACTGAGACGACAATAATAATTAACGACGTACTCAAATAATGAAGCGAAAATCATGTGACGCGCTGCGTAATTTGCATCGTTCACCGCACACAACGGGTAATAATTGTCAAAACAAAAGAGAAACTTTACTAGGCAGCAACAAAAAACAACTCTAACCTGTTTCCAACAATCAAATCTGATTCTAATGTACTTCATAATTAAAGTATAAGGATAAAATAAGTAAAAATGACTCACATCCAGACATTTTTGCGTAGAAAGCAGACGAGCGTGGAGCGTGTAGGGAATGCGGCACTCGACTGGCGGACCGGAGCGACAGTCGACACCGGTACACTTCTGAGTGGATTGTGGAACGGTTCGGCTGAGCTGTCTGGCGTTGGAATTATCTATGGTAGTGTAGTGACGTGTGCGACGTGGAATGGCTGGCAAGCGGCCATTGAAAGAAATGACTAGGATGCGGTAGCTACCGTATGCGTAACCAGCTGGTTACGATTTTCTGATTATTTTATTTATGTAGGTCTGTTGTTGTTGTTTCAGCCGAAAGACGTCCACTGCTGGACAAAGGCCTTCACCAAGGATTTCCACAAAGACCGGTCCTGCGCCGCTCGTATTCTTCATTGAATTGATTCTTTGCCAAAAGCGCATATTAAATAAAGTAAAAAAAAATTATAAAAAATATACCTTGTGTTGATTTACAGTGTTTCTAAAAAGTACAAGTAGGTACTTTTTATTTACCGAAAATAATAATTATTAATAATTGTAATTTACATAACAAGTAGTCCTATATTCAGGATTACTGGAAATCATATTTGCCTTACAGAGCTTTATAAATAATATCTAGATTTATTTTGTAGCACCGATTTCTTGTTTGCACTGCGACATGGTGCAACAAAATGACGTGGCCTCTGGTTGCCTCTCTATCGTACGAGGCGGCCATTTTGAAATTATTTCACTATTGGAAGGCATTTTCACAAAACACTGTTTACATAATTGCTAAGCCGGTTTTTGTTATATCAGCTCCATTTGAATGAGAAGAAATTAGTCATCAATGACACTTGAATGATGTTAGGTAAATATAAAGTTAAATTATATTTCTAATTACGAAAGTAAATAAAAGGGTTCCTTTCAATTTTGTAGATGACGAATATCTTTAGTGTTAAATTTTTATTTAGCTAATTTCCTTTGTTTTTGGGATTTTCTAGAAAGAACCTTTTTTGGGAAAAAACCTGTTTAATTTTAATCAATTTTCTAATTTATTACCCTTAATTAAAGAGAGCCGTTGGGGCAGGAAAGTTCTCGAGTCGACCTAGCGTGGGCAGGCCTCCTACTAGGTGGACCGACGATCTGGTAAAGGTCGCGGGAAGAGCCTGGATGCGGGCAGCGCAGGACCGTTCATTGTTGAAAACCTTGGGGGAGGCCTTTGTCCAGCAGTGGACGTCATTTGGCTGAAAAGAAAGAAGAAGAAGGAAGAAAGAGTTATGGTTGAAATGTTGATGATGATGAAAGAGTTATTTAAAATAAGACAAAGCAGACCGTCGCAGTAGATGACTAAAACATTTTTTATAACTTACAATATTTTGTATCTTTGTAAGGTTTTTTGGCACCCCAACATGTTCAAAGTCCAAAGCGTCATAACTGTTACAACTACATATAAAATACTTGCATGTTGTGCTGCGTATCTCAACAGTTTCTAGACACGTCACTGATAAAATAATGGCGTAAGTTACTTACTCAACCTTTGTCCAGTAAACAGCACATAAGACTCTACATATTTTCCCTGAATCACACAAATGTAAGTATAGTTAGGTATCCAATTAAATCACAATAAACATTAACAATTACGGTGTATATTATGAAAACGGTAAATCGTAAAAAAATCCTTCCGTAAGTACATTTCCCATGTCATCTAAGTAGTTTTAATTTTAAACCTTGACTCGTTGTCATAAGGTCGAATGATCACAAACAAGATTTTCCACCCCTATCTAACACAATCTAAGTTCGTGACGTCATACTTACAACACTGACGAATACTGGCGTGGCTCAACAGTCTGCAGACAAGTCACGATTGAGAAATAATGACGTAGATAAGTTGCTCAATGTTAACAAACACACCATAAACTCTTTATGTAGAGCTAAGTTTTATTAATTAGATATCTGTATCAGGAAAACTGTAGAGGTACTATGATTTAATACAACAATTTTTTTATAGGATGGATACCTTCACGAAAATAAATTGATGAAACTGGGATGAGCATGATTGATGATCTGAGACAGATAAGGCGTTATTTGACCAACCTAAAGTTACTATGCCCTTAAAACACGTGTTCATATAACACATGCGTGCCGAATGTAGTGGAAAATTTATCAACAAGCACATATTATCTATTTCAGAAAATATGCAATACTTTTTGTAAAGAAAATTATATCCATAGCCTGACATCTACCGGAAAAGTGACGAACTAACGCTACGAAAGGTTACTGCTCTACACCGGTTGGGCAGAAAAGGTAAAGTTTCTACGGAATTGCTTTAGATGGCATTGAGTCAACTTACATTAAAAATTTATGAAGTTAAAATTAATAAAATATTCAGTCTAGAAAATTAATTTAGCAGCATTTACCTATTTGATTCGCAATTACAGAATGTAGTAGGTATAGCCTGACCAGGAACATAAAAACCCTGGCATAGAGGCGCGTCAATTGCATTTGATAGNTTTTCGAGTGGCGACCTAGCGTGGGCAGGCCTCCTACTAGGTGGACCGACGATCTGGTAAAGGTCGCGGGAAGAGCCTGGATGCGGGCAGCGCAGGACCATTCATTGTGGAATACCTTGGGGGAGGGATTTGTCCAGCAGTGGACGTCATTTGGCTGAAAAGAAAGAAGAAGAAGGAAGAAAGAGTTATGGCTGAAATGTTGATGATGATGAAAGAGTTATTTAAAATAAGACAAAGCAGACCGTCGCAGTAGATGACTAAAACATTTTTTATAACTTACAATATTTTGTCTCTTTGTAAGGTTTTTCAGTACCCCAACATGTTCAAAGTCCAAAGCGTCATAACTGTTACAACTACATATAAAATACTTGCATGTTGTGCTGCATGTTTCAACAGTTTCTAGTCACGTCACTGATAAAATAATGGCGTAAGTTACTCAACCTTTGTCCAGTAAACAGCACATAAGACTCTACATTTTTGCCCTTAATCACACAAATGTAAGTGTAGTCTTAACCGCCTCTGTGGTCTAGTGGTAAGACCACTTCAGACGCAGAGGTCCCGGGTTCGATATCCAGTGGGGGCAGATTTTTCTGTTCGGTTTGGTAGGTGGTAGGGCTTGTTCTAAGTCCGCCTGGCTAGCTACCACCATCTTACCTAAGTCTGTCGCCATAACAACAATTTTAGCAGCATTGATGTGTTCCGGGTGAAGCTCGCTTCCACCTTCGGCCTGATCATCACTTACCATCAGGTGAGATACAAGCTAAGAGCTTCCTCGTTGTGGATAAAAAAAAGTTAGGTATCCAATTAAATCACAATTACGATGTATACTATGAATCGTAAAAAAACCTTCCGTACATTTCCCATGTCATCTACTTTTAATTGTAAACCTTGATCCGTTGTTATAAGGTCGAATGATCACAAACAAGATTTTCCACCCCTACCTAACACAATCTAAGTTCGTGACGTCATACTTACAACACTGACGAATACTGGCATGGCTCAACAGATTGCAGACAAGTCACGATTGAGAAATAATGACGTAGATAAGTTCCTCAATGTTAACAAACACACCATAAATTCTGTATGTAGAGCCTTAGCTCTACATACAGAATTTATCTATTACATATATCTAATTAAATCTAATTATTTAATATAATTTATATCTAATTATTAAAACTTATTTTAATAATGGCATGTATTTAAATGATCTTTTTAAATTAGCAAAAANTTTAATAATTAGATATCTGTATCAGGAAAACTGTAGAGGTACTATGATTTAATACAACAATTTTTTTATAGGATGGATACCTTCACGAAAATAAATTGATGAAACTGGGATGAGCATGATTGATGATCTGAGCTAGGGTTTCTGATTTCTCGACTTATTTTTTTTCTCGAGTTTCGGGAATTCTCGAGGCCAAAGTCTCGAGTTTTCTCGGGTCTCGAGTCTTTTAATTAAAACTGTTGAAATCGGTTGAAATTTAATAAAAACACGGGTTTTTATTAATTTTATAATGTGTCTGGGTTATAATCAATAATACTGTAAAGTTTCAACAAAATCCGTTCAGTTGTTTTTGCGTGAAAGAGTAACAAACATCCAGACATCCACACAAACTTTCGCATTTATAATATTAGTAGGATAATTATAACTTAGTAATTAACTAAAGGAACAAAAGTCATAAAGTCGCGTGTACTTTAAGGATTAATAACCATAAATATCTGGAGCTCCAATTGAATCACTTGTTTTCCAAAGAACACAAGTTCAAATTAATTGAAAAATTACGATAATAAACCTACATTTACAAACAAAGAAAAAACTTTTAAATAAATTTTTAAACTTAAAGATAACGACTTGAATAAACGTATTTACAAGTACCTAAACTAACAGATAGTTAACAAAAAAAATTCAGTCTTTAAATAAGTCAGTTATACAAACATCCCAACTAATATTATAAATGCGAAAGTAACTCTGTCTGTCTGTCTGTCTGTCTGTCTGTCTGTCTGTTACGCTTTCCCGCTTAAACCTCGCAACCGATTTTGATGAAATTTGGCATAGAGATAGTTTGAGTCCCGGGAAAGAACATAGGATAGTTTTTATCCCGGTTTTTGAAACAGGGACGCGCGCGATAAAGTTTTTCTGTGACAGACAAAATTCCACGCGGGCGAAGCCGCGGGCGGAAAGCTAGTAATAAAATATAGCATACTCGTAGGTGAACATTATTAGTTTCGGTTAAGATCATTACTTGCAAATCAAATTAGTAAAAAAAAGGAAAGACTAGGCCAGTCTAAACGCAACGATAACCAATTAAATAATTAAAAACTTACTTTTGTCTAAGAAAATAGGCTTTCAAGAATATTAAAGCTTCAAAATCGAAACTCGAGAATTCTCGAGCTCCGGTAATTTTTTTCTCGTCTCGAATGAAGCCAAATTTCTCGAGTTTTCTCGAGTTCGAGAAAGCTCGAGCAGAAACCATATCTGAGACAGACAAGGCGTTATTTGACCAACCTAAAGTTATGCCCTTAAAACACGTGTTCAAATAACACAGGCGTGCCGAATGTAATGGAAAATTTATCAACAAGCACATAATATTATATTATACTTCCTATTTCAGAAAATATGCAATACTTTTTGTAAAGAAAATTATATCCATAGCCTGACATCTACCGGAAAAGTAACGAACTAACGCTACGAAAGGTTACTGCTCTACACCGGTTGGGCAGAAAAGGTAAAGTTTCTACGGAATTGCTTTAGATGGCATTGAGTCAACTTACATTAAAAATTTATGAAGTTAAAATTAATAAAATATTCAGTCTAAAAAAATAATTTAGCAGCATTTAAATTCTTTGTTTGATTCGCAATTACAGAATGTAGTAGGTACATGATAATTTTAGTAGGACCTACCTTCAATTTGTTAGAAAAACATTTTTTGATAGAGTCACAGATTTCACGGTGTACACGTATAACATAGCAATTACCAGNATAGCAATTACCACGTACTGCGAAATTTCAATATTACATAGACAAAAACGATACAACATTCAGGTAACAAAAACTAAAATGGCGCCACACAATAGAGTAATCTTAGACAGTGTTGGACAATGTTGCGTTTATTTCTTATACGGAGCATTTCATATTTTTGTGTCGGATTTCATTTCTCCCGGGGGAAATAAGAGAGCACTTGCATATAAGTTTGCAGGACAAAATTAAATTGCAAGACTCTATAAAACCGTTTTCATTTGGAGTGAAATAAACAGTAGACTGGAATTAATCATAATAGAATTGCATTGCATAAAAGTGAGTCACAAAACTGCGTGGTAATTCAGTACTATTACTTTTGATCGTAAAAAGTATGGAAATGAATCATCTCGTTAACGTTGTAGTTTTTCAGTCAGATGATCACGGACGTTGTTCTTATCACTGAAGATCCTAATAGATTTGATTGTATTGTGTATGCATAATTAAGTAAACAGAATCAAGAGATAATCGAATGTATTGTCCTGAAGTGATGGTAGTCCAAGCTATATTTCAAATGTGTATGAGTGCCCTGAGAAGATCCTACTGCTAATAAAGATTTTGAATTTGAAATGAAACAATCAAGAACCAATCGAAGTATTTATTCATTACTACTACGTTTACATACATCATTCTGCGAACACGTACAAGTAAAAATACTGTATCATGATGACGGCGTACGAGATCGTCTGTCCACAGAAGCCGAGGACTATAGGCGCGTTTACTGTGAACACATTTGCAGTTATTTCTAGTTTCCTCGTCTCTACCAGGTCTATCATTGTTAGCACTTGATCTCTATAAGCTTCGTCTGAAACATAAATGAATAAAATGTTATGATAACCTTTCATGAAATAACTAGCGGCCGCCCGCGACTTCGTACGCGTGGATCCCGTTTTACCCCCTTCATCTATCTTACGCGGTTTAGATTTTTTCATACAATTTTTTTCCTACTAACTCCCGTTTCCGTGGGAATTTTGCAATATCCTGTTGTAACTAAGCTTTAAGTTTACTAAGGTACCTGCATGCCAAATTTCAAGCGTCTAACTTAAGCGGTTTAGATTTTTCATACAAAAGGATTTTCCCGCTAATTCCCGTTTCCGTAAGAATTTCGGGAATTCCTTTCTTAGTGCACCTCTACGGTACCTAAGCTACGTCCCTTCCAAATTTCAAGTGCCTACGTTTAGCGGTTTAAGCTGTGCGTTGATATGTCAGTCAGTCAGTTTCGCCTTTTATATCATGAAAATAATATTGACGGGATTGCTACCATGTACCTTAATTTCGAGTCTCCGATATATCGGCACTGTAGCTAGCGCCATGATCACGGTGTTACATGGTAGCAATCCAATCAGTAATAAATAATTATTCTTTCATGAAATTTTATGGTAGTATTTCATGTACGAGTAATTGACTATTTAACTGTCTGAACCCATTATAAATTCTATCTCTCCTTTCTATTAGGTATTTGACTTTTTAAAATCTATTAGATTTTGTCCGCTTCTTCACTCGCCTCAAACACAATATCGTCCTAAATTATAACCCTTGTATTAATCTGAAGATACTGTAAAGTTTCATCAAAATCCGTTCAGTTTTTTTGTGTAATACAGTAACAAACATCCATCCTCACAAACTTTCACATCGAAAATACCTATTTTGTAGGATAGTAAGATTTTTTTATTTAAAAGGAACCTCCTTTGAGAAGGATTGCGGTGAGGAGCTTCAGATTATGGCTCACCTATCTCTTTGTGTTCTAACTGCACAAAGGGAGACCTAGTAAGGGCTAGGGGGCCAGGAGGATGCGAGAGTTGGATTTTGGTCAGAGCTAGGTGAATAATTTATAGAAACGTTGTCTTGAAAGTAGAATATGACAGTAAAAGGCATGTGTTCGATAATCGATTCTACTCTACTACGATCATAGATCGGATAATTACGGTATTATTAAAAGTGTGGTTTTATAAGATAGCAGGATTGTAACGCTTTGTTAATTAATTCCAAAGACCCATTATTTATCATTATTTTTCTAATAATAAAAGAACATCAAAGTTTAAGAAATTTCTATAAGTAAGTCTAACATGCAGTTTATGCCACTTCATGTAGGATTTAAATAAATATATAAACAATAAATAAATATCCTTGGACATTTTACACTGCGCCTCTAGTCCTAAAATAAGCAAAGCTTGTACTATGGGTACTAGACAATGTTAGCGCCTGAATTTATTTGTCAAGCGTACAGTTTGTCAAGCGTACGTTACACAGACAGACTGAAGACAGCAAAAATCGGAACGTGTTGGCAGATTGCCTGCAGAAAAATATCAGGCGTTTTCGTTGCATATCACCATTTGTTTTGACAGCAAAAAACCATTTAAATAGTGCTACGGTATTGCAGTAAAAACTAACAGTTTTAGAATTTTACTATTTTATAATAGCTCCTTCTATGTTCTTCTGATTAAATTCGTTGCGGATCCAATGATATTTTATTTTCCCAAGGAACAAACTTGACCTTCACGGTTGGGTTTTTATTGGCGGTCAAGCCGTAGATCTTGGCTACACAGGAATTGCAACGATGGGAACGAGAGGTGGTGTTGGTGGAAATAGTCCCGTATTAGACTAAAATAGGTATGTCATAATTATTGTTACTCCTACACTTATTATTATTCTGTGGTACTAGTAACAATCGACTAGTTGAGATACAATGGTTTAATTTTAACATAACGACTATGTAGATAAGATAGAACCATAAGACTCTTACCTAAATTCCCATGGACTAAATAATTTATTAGAATTTCCAATGTTTTCTTTCTTTCCTCTATAAATAATTCACACATCTTCGTCATGAATATGGGACGTCCATTGATAGAAGTGTACATGAAGATGTCACTAAAAATTACTTCTGAAAACTGAAAAAAATATAATTAAAGACCTCTAAATTTCAGTACAAGTTTAGATTTTTAAATAACTTTTATTTACATTTACTGTTGGCGATAACATTCTGCAAATGATCAACAGGGTGCAAATGACCCAAGAGGTGAACATCAAAAAAACCTGAAAAAGATAGAATAGGCTTTTTTTTACAGTTGAAAAATAGTCTTAACTGCTTAAGCTGAGTTGCACCATCTAAAACTATAACGATAACCGGTGTTTTTTGTACGGAGCTTAGCAGAATTTTTGACGTTTGTCAAAGTTTAAAGTAAGATGTGTAACCCAGCCTTAGTTTAGACACCGCGCAGACTAGAGACTTTTACTCGACCGATAGTTTGATCGGGCTTTTAATCAGTATAAACATTTGTATATAAGTGCGCGGTAATATAATTATGTATTAAGTAATTCATACAAATTGAAAGCCGGCCAAACTATCACCTTCCCAAAGTCTGTAGTCTTCGGCTAGTTTACTTAATTGTTACAATACATATACATATATTTCGCATATTAAGCTATAATATGGCATTATCATTATCATTATCATTATCTCAGTCATAATAGGACGTCCACTGCTGAACATAGACCTCCCCCAATGCTTTCCATGTTGCCCGGTTGGTAGCGGCCTGCGTCCAGCGCCTTCCTGCTACCTTTATGATGTCGTCGGTCCACCTTCTGGGTGGACGTCCCACGCTGCGTTTTCCGATACGCGGCCTCAACTCCAGAACCTAGCTATGGCACAATATTACCTTTAGTTGCTTTACTTTGGCGCTATTTTGCAGAAAATAATTTAAATTACCTGTCCAGAATAGATTTTGTTGAATAAGTAGACACAGTCAGCAACTTTGTCGTATATCTGCATGAGTTCAAACCAGCAATATTGTTTTTTAGAGTTTTCAACTATCACAGGTTCTCGTAGCATGCTCTGGAATATGCAGTGTAGTATTAGGCTAGCAAAAGAAAAACATAGAGTTTATCTGATATGCGATCAAGAGTCAAATTTTATTTATTTGATGGAAATTTTATAGGTAACTTTTAAATATTAGTAATCAAAGAATTTATTGTAGATCTTAGTACACTTTGAGTGCAAAATTGTTAATCATACACGTAACACACTTTTATCTTTAGCAGTGTGATAAAAAAAGGTTTAATCTATATGAATAGATAAATGTAAGTCAACATATTTGTGAGTGGAACTTTTTAGAACTAGTCACTGTTAAATAAATAGAGCATTAGCCTAAGTTACTAACTATACTTACTTTGAACACACTGCTTACAAATGATCTCTCAAATAGAATCTTCTTATGCTCAGAGATAGCCCCAGAAGTTTTCTTCAGCAGCAAATTGTTTAATACGAAGTGCTTCATAAATATGTTCACAATGAAAAGCAATATTATTGACCCTTGCAACATTATTAGAAAGAAAGACAAATGGGCACCAAAGTTACGAATATTAAATTTTCTCAAGTAACACGTGGACAACACCTGTACGATTGGCAATATTAGTAAACACACACCCATGATTCTCCTGGTCAGAAACATCTTCTTAGATGTGCCAAAGTGCCAGTCAACTTTGCTAAGAACACCAAACATTTCAACATAGTTCTGACTATTTGCAAAGGATACAATTAAAACTGAGTAAAGCGCCTCAGCAGTATGAAGTATCCCATAACTTTTTGTTAGAATGTTCAAAGGAATATCCAGTTGCGTATATTTCCAACTCACTGGCTTAACAAATATTGTAAGAGAGATGATGGCCGCCACAAAAGACACAGAATATAGTTTGCTGAATGCTTTAACTTTGATAATTTCATCGTTGGAATATTCAATCATTTTCATTCCAAATATAGATATGAGATACGTGAAAGGTTTCACTGCAATAGCCATAGAGAATTTGTGTGGCACGTTTATTTTATTTAATCTTGTTATAATAACAGAAAAACAGCTGGATGGTATAGAACGTTTCATGACGCCGTGTAACAGTATGCGATTGACAGCAATACAAATGAAACTAAACTTTACTATGGAATTCATAAACAAAGCAATCCGTAATAATATTAATTCTAAAAGCAATATATTTCATTAAGCGATGATAAAATCGGAACACAAGTTTTCAATTTTAATTAAGCATAGATTATTATGAGTGCCAGAGTTAATGGCATAAGATTTTGATTTAATTCTCATGTTACTAACCTATACTTACCTAGTACGTTATTCCATTTCATCGTATACCTTGCGTAAGTTTATGTACATAACGAAATATTATGCTTAAATGTATTTTAATAACATATTATTATTAACGCCATTCAATCCTGAAAAAAGTTTTGATTACATTTAGAAAAATAGTTACTAGTTTTTTTTAACATTAAGCTTTAGAGAAAGAATACTAACAGGATGTCGTTGCAAGCTTGTAAACGTAGACTGTGAAATAAACAAGGATGGCTATGAAGAGTCCTGCTATAATAATGTGTATCACTTGACATGCTAAACTAAATATGCAGCTGAAAAATTAGGCAAAAAAACGTTATTCAGTGTGTATTAAAGAAAATAAGATTGGATGTGTAATGTAATACAACTCTATCTGCTATATCGCTCTACATATAAGTTTGGTTTATACAAACCACATGTCCAAAAAATAATAAGGTTACTCATACGTTCAGGAGATAAAATAATTTGTGCTTGTCAAAAACACCTTTTTTGATCTGATCACCTGTGGAATATATAAACCTTATATTTTGATTTTTGATTTTGATTTTGAATAATGAGAAATGATTGAGTATTGTGTTGTGGCCCAAGGGTATCGCGAAAGTTGTGACAACAGAGTTCATAACGTGTCAGATTAAATGAACTGCTATAAAAATCTAGTATGTCAGATTTCTATAGCAGTTCATAACTATACCCCTGGGCCACAAATAACCGCAATAAAGTACAAGTGCCTACGCGCGAATACATGGTTACACATCGCGATAGTGCGAATCTTCTGGGTACCCAGGGCCAGGCCACCCAGGGGTAAAAAGTATCCAACGACAAAAAGACCATGTACGTATATACAGGGTGGCCAAAACAGTGAGGTCTAAAAGAAAAATTTAGATTCCTTATATCAAGGTGTACCTAAATCACCATTCCAGAATTAGGAAGGTGATTATTTTTTTCAAACATCTGCAATTAATAACAAATCTGTCGAAAAAAAGAAATCCGAAAAAAGTCAACCCAGAAAAAAGATAAAAATGTTTAAAGCCTACTAGGTCACAAAATTTTAAAATATCACAAAATTAACTCTATCTCCTAAACTAAGCACAATCGTATTACATACATGGGGGTGATTTAGGTACACCTTGATGTAAGGAATCTAAATTTTTCTTTTAGACCTCACTGTTTTGGCCACCCTGTATAGTGTAGGTACTTAAGTATGTATACTCTATTATACAACACTCCTGTTCCCGCTGGTGCTACCATTAGTTGTAAGCAACCTTGCAAGCCAAACAGTCCACTTACACTGATACCAAATTATCTTTATTGGGGGCATAATGTGCACCGTGAATATGATATCACTCGGTCCAGTTTCTGTTATAGACTTTTAACATACATAAATGGAAAGTATTGACGCGAACTGTAGATAAGCTATCGATTGAAATGTTCTATGGCACGTGAGATATCGATTGAGTGTTTTCGATAAGATAACAGCGATAAAATGTATACTTACATTACATGCTGTGTGAGTAACGCATGCACGCCTAAAAAACTATTCGTCAGTTCAATATTTCTGGACAAAGAAACTGGTGGATTATTTATTTTATTTTCCTTTCAGACAGAATCTCTTTGACTAGTTTGACTGTGTCAAAGAGGTAGATAATGATAAAAAAGACAAATTAAATGAGGTATCAATAAAAAGGTTTTATTTACTAAAATGTATTTATTATTTACAAGATTTGTTGTTTATAAAAAAAACATCCTGATTAAATATGCTTGGCCAGGATGGACACAGAGGCACGGGTGTGGGTGCAGTGCATTGTACTGAAACATAGTGGCGCCCGCACGTGTTTCATAAGTCTGCGCCCTCGCCCGCGCGTTTCACCTGACCAAGCACTTACATCCTTTCAAATACTCGTAATATTTATCAAAATATTGAAACATTATTGTTTGTTACTTCCTTTTTCTTTTACTCGCATAAAGAATATAAAGTAACAGCAAGATATTATTTTAGTTTGATTAGATATACAGGGTGACTGGATCTGAACCCGCCATAGCTAATACGCGTATAGAGAAGGTCATTTGCTAATTATTGAACCTTACTTTCTATTCCTAAAGTTTTATAGTTTAGGAGATATGTCAATTTTTATACTTTTTTCAGATTTTTCCGAAATTTGACCTAAAAACTGCTTCAATTTTTTTTCTCGCGTGATTTCAACAGTTTTTTTGATTTGATATTAATATCGAGTATGTCTTTATTCAAATAAAATAAATTTCCGATCCAAATAATGATTGAATAGCTAGTTACGAGCCGCTAAAGTCTAACAAAAGTACAAACCACTATAAAAAATTAAACTTCGAATTCAAATGAAACAAAAATTAATGGTGATAATGGATTGCCAATGATCTTAAAAATATCTCTAGCTTCTCTTCTTTCCAATGATATATCACACGCTGTAATTAGATATTGAAATTTGTCAAAAATTCAAAGTTTATGGAAGAAAATGGAGTAATAATACAAAAATTATCCATACAAAGTTTACTTTGAATTTTTTTAAACTCTTTTCATCATAATTTGATTATTGTTTTATAATTCATTTTTCAAAAAACACACAAAAATAGTTATGAAAAGGAGTATAGCAGAAAATATGAGATGTTTGAAGAAACTTTGTATGGATAATATGGATAATTTTCGTATTATTACTCCATTTTCTTCCATAAACTTTGAATTTTTAATCAATTTTACTATCTAATTTCTACGTGTGATATATCATTGGAAAGAAGAGAAGGTAGAGATATTTTTAAGATCATTGGCAATCCATTATCACCATTAGTTTTTTTTTTAAATCGAAATCGAACTTGAATTTTTATCGTGGTTTGTACTTTTGTTGAACTTTGACGGCTCGTAACTAGTTATTGAATCATTATCTAGATCTGAAATTTATTTTATTTGACTAAAGGTTTATTCGATATTAGTATCAAATAAAAAAATCGGTTAAAATCATGCGAGAAAAAAAAATTAAGCAGTTTTTAGGTTAAATTTCGGAAAAATCTGAAAAAAGTATAAAAATTGTCATATCTCCTAAACTATAAAACTTTAGTCATAGAAAGTAGGGTTCAATAATTAGCAAATGACCTCCTCTATACGCGTATTAGCTATGGCGGGTTCAGTTCCAGTCACCCTGTATATTTATAATGAAATACAGTTTTTTCTGAACTTGTACATTGAACAAGTTATTATTTTTGAGGACACATACATATGAGACTTATGTGAATAAGCCTGAAGTATATTTAGTACTTATGTGTATACTAACATATTTTATGTATAACATAAGTATATACATTTTATTTTAAGGTAGGCTGTAATATATATTTTTTTTTATATTACAGCCTACCTTAAATTTTTCCAAACCACAGATTTTTTAACGCCCCATTTGGTACCGCACGCGCACGCCCCCAGCTAAGACCCGTGTATAAAAAATCAAGTTAGATTTAATATCAAGCCTGCAATTGGTTCTTGCTGCTTGCTATAAAATTTTTAGGTTTAGCAGCTACTTAACTGCTTAACAGTCATAATATTTAATCATTAAGAGAGCTTAGGGCACTTATAACAATACAAAGTAACATAAATTAAGGAGGTGTTAAGGATTTTGTTTATAGTCTAATTTAATTTGGAGATAACATCATTTTTAAGTAAAGCTAGTCTTCCATATGCTTCTCTGGTGACTTCCTCGGTTTTTTCATCGTTATTGAATATAACTTTTGTAGCCCATAGAATGATGAGTATAATTGCCACAATAAACAGCAGTGACAAGATGAAGCTGATGATTTTGCACAGTAAATTGCACACACAGCTGTAAAAGAAGAAAATTATGAGCACCTTAAACATCGCGCTCCTTAAAACATATTGTTTCAAAAATAAGTCATTTTAGGTCAAGAGGAAACTACGTTAATATTTTTGAAAACGCCTTTCATTAGCCATTACATAATTGTCTTTATTTGCTCAAATATTTTTTTAAATTTTAGTACTTAGGCACGGCTGGAAAATATGACTGGAATCAGGTATTTTTCGCAATCTATGAACCGACAGTACTGAAAATACCTACTTATCTATGAAGTAATCGCATAATAATCTAATCTAACTAATTTATATTTCTAATGATCTCATAATGAAGTGATAGAGGCAAGTTGAGACAGTTGCCATTAGGCTATATTTTGGTTTTAAAATCACAACAATTACAACTTAAGGTGCTACAGTACTGAGCTTTGATATTATGATGGCGTAGTTACAGTCGCCATTTTTAATACTAGACTATGGATTTTGATTACAAATTCGATTTGCCACTACAACTGCTACAACAATGCCATAGTTTCTCTGTAGTTAAAGAAATAAACTGTTATGATACTTTTGTAAGTCTTTATTCATTTCTATATCATATTAAGCCAAGTTTTAGCCAACTGAATAAATACGGAGGCATATGGCGTCAATAAAGTGCGTTATCAATTAATTATTTCAAACATCAGCTACTTACAACGATAAAGTATTATTTATTATTTTTTATTCTCTTCATTGATGATAAGAGTTGAGTTTTGCGAACTACCTATTTAAAACTACCTAATTCGATTGATTGAAGATTGAGTTGGTGACAAAGGAAAAGGTGGAAAAGCAGCACCAATATAATATTCAATAGATATAATAACACCCGTATTCACAAACGATACTTGCTTAAGTAAAGCAGCAAATCGAACGCACAGCGTTGAAGAGCTCTGTAATTGGTTCGTGTCTGATCCTGTGCGTCCACGCGCACTGTGAGACCTCAAAATAATGTTTGTGAATACGGCTGTAAATGTAGTTGTGACACACAGTGTTTTTGTCGATTTGCCACAGACTCACTCTCACAATGTTTTTCTCGTGACAAATTAATGCGTACCTTTATTTAGACTTATGATGACGAATTTGTTTTAATGTTGGAAAATTACAAAAGTGTGACGAAACGAGTTTCTGGCATTGACAATAGCCCGAGTCATGGATCGATGCATCTGGGAAGACGTCATCATGGCCTTGAATTCATCATCAATGTTTTAGAGTAATGTTTAGATGCAATGTTTGTCCAAGTATTAGGTAAGTATTTATTTCTAAGGCATTAATATTCTCCCAGTCTCTTAACACATTTAAAAACGGTTTTTCGTTTTAAATATAAGATTTGCTATTGAAATATGTTTTGAAACATTTTACTCTACTTATTCTTTTTGAAGATTAAGTCACATTTTGCAATCATATCACCACATAAACATACGATTCACGTTAAAAATATACAATTTTAGAACAAAATAATTAAAGTATTTACCACATATTTGCAGATTTTAAGTCCTTGGCGAGTAAAGTCAGTAATTAAAATCGGTGTTTGGTTAACACACAGCACTCGTCACCACGGTTAGAACAACACTGCTGTAAGGTTTCAGAATACAAGATTTTCATATTAGCACTTATCTACGCTTAACTGATATTCGTACCGTATCGCTGATTCAT